GATGCTTCTGTACTTGAAAGGCTGTTTAACTCCCCTGGGTCTACCCCACCAAATCCATGTGCAGTTCAGCCCTGTGTCTTCGCTTCTGTAGAAGGTGCTGGAGGCAATGCATTGAGTGACAGGGTCAGATCCACACCTGCCCCATGAGGGTCCATGTCCTCCTGAACCTGGGGGTTGTGACTCTTGCAAACTCGGGGTCTGAATGGAAACCCCACAACAGGCTGGGGGCACCCCTGTATTCAGGGAGTGACTGCCACATTGAACTCAGAGGTGTAGGCAAACATCTGCCCCATCTTCACCCTCCATAGGAGGTGGTGGAGCACTGGGGCACCAGCCTGTTCTCCAGAACCCATAGCAGATGCTTCAGTCTACAGCAGAGCCTCTGTGGGGAAATTAAGGGAAACAAGCCCAGACTGCCCAGGAGCCAGGGGAAAGGAAATCGGAGACCACATCAAGCCTGCTCTTCGGCAAGTGTTTAATTCCTTCAAAGCCATTAGTGCTTCTCCCCCGAGTGCCTCATACTGGAAGGTGCTGCCTCCTGCAGTGCCTGGAAATCCGCTTTTGAATTTCCCTGACTGAACGTATTTCACAGCCAGTCTGAATCCTGTTGCTCTCAACCAGGGATGCTCCAGGATTCCCCCCTCCTTTCCAGTCCAGTTGGATGTATTTCTGGAGCACGACCACAGTCCCACTCGCTCTTGCATTCTCAGGCTGCAGCAGCCAATTCCTGAGCCTCCTCTCAGAAAACATCCCGGCAACATGTCTCTTCTCCCTTGGATTTGTCTTCTTAAATGTGGGCGACCAGCACTGGAGATGATATGAGGGATGGGTGCGTCACCAACCTCTGGTGCAGAAATCCTTCCCGACGCCACTGGAAATGCTGCAACATCGCAGGGTGGTGGGACGATGATGAGATGATGTTTCTCGTATCCCGCTTACGTCAGCAGCTTGTTTCTCTTGTGTTACAGCTTGAACATACCCGGATCCTTTCCTCTCTTCCCTCATTTCCGAGCGCCGGACTCCAGAACAGAGCAGACAGGGTTGTTACCAGTCCTAGCTCTGCTGCCTTTCGCTCCCTTTATGACACTCTTATAGTAAAAGGCACCAGCTCCTCCAGTGTGACATCCTCAGGCTCTGGCTGGCTCCACAACAGGGAGGGCTCTCGGGGAAGGGGCTTCCCTGTGACGCCCCAAGGAGAAGGTACAACTTTACAGCTGACCAGAGTCATCCCTGCATTACCTTTCAGTCCAAATGTCCCCGAGATGGATGGCTGCTCCCCCGTAAACTTCTTAGGAGTTTTCTGTTTCCTTCCTGACTCAAAAGAGAGAAACAGAGAGAGATTTGGTCAAATAACTGTACTGCCAGGAGAGCAGTCCTACGGCATAGGGTGGGCACACACTCTGTATCAGGTGTGGGTCAGGGGTGAAGCACCCACCCACCAAAAACTAACAGGCTGCTGCTTCCCACCCCTCAAAACCAGGAGAAATAATGTGTTCAGGGCTACTTCAGTGAGTGGAAGTGGTGGCTCTGTCAGTGACAAAAGCCACATGGCAGTCGTGATGGCTGTGGTAGTTTGCTTTGGTGCTGAAGCAGTGGAACCCCAGGCCATGATGGGGACAAACACAGCCCTGCCTGCCAGCTCTGCAGTGGCCCAGAATGAGCATCCTCACCCTGTCCCAATCCTTCAGGAAAATGGATTTGCCAGTATCATTCTGGTTTAACCCGCTACACTCAGTGAGGACAGATTGGGCAGACACGGCAGCTCGCTATGATGCCAGGAATTCAATCCACTTCCAATCCTACAGGTCCTATAGGAATAATCCCTATTACACCTACGACTGGGTTTTAACTCCCAGTAAAGCTGCAGGAAACTGGAGGTGGGGAGTAAATTATCAGCATGTTAAATCAAGACTCAGATATCTCATGGATTCAGAGATGCTCACAGCAACGCTGGCTGGAGCAGAATCCCTTCCCATGGGACACCTCTCTCTGGGATCCCGAACCAGTGTAGCCCCGGGCTCTAATCTTACTGTGCTTCATCCTCTCAGGGTCTTCCTCCTGCAGCGAGGCCTGGCTGCCGCGCT